ATGCATAGTAATGAGCTTCTGAATCACGTCAGCGGTTTTGACCGTGGTCTCATCAGTGGCAAACTGAATGCTCTTCATCTGTGCAAACACGGCTTCGTGTGTGCAAATTTGCCCCGCCGAACGCAAAGAATCTCGAAGCCTGGGATGAACAATGGATGACACTTGACAACAACATTGACTACAATGACGCAACAAGTTTTGACACAAGTTTTGACATAGTGGAATCATGCCGTCCTGGCAACATGATCAATCTGGATGCATACAGGAATGGTAAAGCATTGCCAAATTCCTGAACTCTCTTGCATAAGTCCTCTGCGCTCTGGATAATCTTCAAGATACGATGTTCTCCTGCATGGACCCTTGAGATGACCAATTGACAGCTCTCCGCCACGGCTGCAAATAGATCCAATTTCTCCTGGCGTTGGACGGACTGACTGGACCAGTAGCAAATATTAGACACTGATAGCATTCTGGTAGTATTCAGGACTGGCTCAAAAAAAGGAAACAGCGGCTGCTGGTCTCCTGAGATAATTTGGTCTTGGTTGGTGACGGCAAGGATTCTGACTCCAAGTCGTCCTCCCCCCTGGTTCTCCCGGGGCTTCACAAACCCTAGCGCCATTGCCCAAGCCAACACAAAGGCAAAGACCCTCGTGGCGTCTTCAGCTATGATCAAACCTCCCCTGACTGTGTCTTCCGTCGCAAAGCAATGGATCAACAATTGACACTGCAATCTCTCTTCGCTGGACCACCAAAACTCCTTCGATTCTTCAATTTGTTGGCATGTTGGCCATGTGCAGCCAATGTCACCAAACAATTGCAAATCGCCCAAGCAACCCACATAGTTGGCCGCCTGATTCATTTGAAGACAGGGCAACACGCTGAGGGTGGGATCCCATCAATGGAACATTGACAATCACAGCTGGCCTTCTCCACCTGGCTACCTTTGAACTTTGCCGTGAGCAAAGGCAAACCACGGCATAAATCCTTATTGCCTTGCCCAGGCCAAACTCTCTTCTTCTTCAGAAATGTCACAGCCTTCTGAATCCTCAGCGGATTCAAACTACTTGATGCGTGAAATATCACTGCTGACTGCTGATCACTGCAACCAGGCCACAGATCAGTGCCTTCTGTCACAAAGGATGGACCCTCCTTCATGGAAACCTTCTGGTCATTGTCGTCTGCAATGGCAGGCTGCTGCTGCTTTTTTGGCGGCATGGCTGCTGTAGCAGGCTGAGCCACTGACAAGGCAACGACTGATCATATGACATTGACAACCCTGACATTGACAGTGACAGCGTGCAATAAATCCATGACATTGACACATCATTGACATTGATTGAAACAGCATCAAACACTGCAACCTGTTTTCAACGTGGAAGAAAAAAGTCTATCCCAGGCTACTACTCCTCAGTGCGCTTCTTCTTTGATGTAGTTGTCTCGAACTGGCAGGCAACATAATGTGGAAAGACATGACTGTACTAAATTTAAATGCGATTCAATATGATTCAATATGATTCAATTCAATGACACACTGCAATGCCACTTGTGACTACGACGCCTTGTGATGACACTTGGGACACTCATGGAGCTTCTTCTCCTTCCGAGGTGGCTTGTTCTCCGACTTCATGAGCTTACAGGCCAACTCCACGGGGTGGCGGTTATCCATGAGTCCTCGTGCGTCTCCTCCCTTCAAAGTCTTGGCTCCACCTTCCTGAAGAGTCATAGCAACCATAAGGAACTTAGGCGTGTTCTCGGTTTTCAAAAAGCCAATCGGAGCCCTGGGATCCAGGACATGAGCCTGACAAGCCAGGATTCTACAAACTCACCTTAATAATTTCCAAAGCGCATGGCATACAAGCATATCATCAAAGTGATGCCTTCTTGAATACATCGACCTTTCGGCTTGTCATATCGGTAAAGTTGTCCATCTGCCAAAGCTGGCCTGGTGTGGATCTTAATAGTTTAGATTAGTTTAGACTGTAGTAGTGACTCAAAAGATGAAGAGTGCAAGTTGCCTGGCGTGTCTCCCTCCCATTTCGTCTGGCGGCCACATGCCCATGTCACTGATTCATACTTGGCATCCTTCTGACCTGCGCTGCAGTGGATGATGCCGCCTACATGACGGTTGTGAGCATGTGAGCATGTGCATGTGCACCTGGAATAAAAATCCCATCTGGTCCAGCAACGGGGTTGATGTAGATCAAAAACGAATCAAACTCCTGCTTCTTGAGCCTGCAAACGCAAATCTAAAATGCGCACATGACAAATCTAAAACAAAATCTAAATTGGACAAACGCCGATGACACTTTGCCTTGAAGAATCCATGGGCAGCATCTTGTTGATGATAAGAGCCAGGAACTTCTTGAAGCGCAAAAGCAGATTCGGGCACTTGCACGCTGATGGCACGTGCGGTTGATCTTTCCCTTTCCCTGGCTTCAAACCCAAAATGATCTTTTGGGGTTTCGTGATTGCCCTTTGGCCCGCCCACTGCTCCATCAAGGTCTCAAATTGCACATGCGCGTTCGGATAGTCCTCCAAGACCCCCCCTGCATGAAGCATCTGGGATATCCGGCATTTGCATCGTGCCTCATTAGTCACTGACTGGGTCATGTGATGACATAGAGCGTTTGGCAACCACAGTTGCAACCTCATGCACTAATCACCACAGTTTTGCAAGCAAGATGCGCTTTCCTGGCTTTGGGGTTGCTGCCCCCCTTACCAGCCTGAACGTCTGCCAAAGCATTGGCTCCCTTTGCACTGGCGGGCTCAACCATGATATCTACTTAGAGTTGGACTGCAAAGCACTGAAGCCAAATGTTGCTGACAATGACAAAGCATATGTACATAATGCATATGACAATGATAAATGCAACTATATAATTGTCTTCCTGCATATGCCGTTTGCCGAGGACCTACACTGCCTTCCCTGCAGCGAAAACAACTGTACACATCCTAAGAAAGCGGCAACCTGGTCCATGGCCCCAGGCTGTTCCATTGCCAGAAGCAGAATTGAACAGCGAAGGAACCACGACCAAGCGCTTCACAACTCGAAAATCAGGACGTCGCACATGACTGAATAACCTGGTTTACAAACAGTTTCTGGTAATGTGAAACAACAAGTTCTGAAACCATTGGAATTACATCGAAGCATTTTTCTGCAAGGACCTCCCGTCAGCAACGCGTTGTGTTCCCAGCATACTTAACCCTCCAGGTTGGCTACGGCATAATGCTTTGACATGCCTAACAAAAAGCAATTGGAGAACCAACAAGAACAAACGAGCGTTAATTACAACGGGAGTGGCACTTGCTTCAGGAACTTGGAATGGCAACGCTGCTTCCCAACCTGCAAAGAGGGCAAACACTGGCCTGTGTAGGGCCTTCGTGCAAAAAAGCCATTGCGTAGATCCACAGCATGGCGACCCCCATCCATGACCCACCGTCGTTCCATTGCCAGAGGCAGAATTGAACAACAATGGGCCACAAACAAGGCTAGTCACCGCACTCGGAACCCCAAAGATCTGAATGGCGACCCCCATCCATGACCCACCGTCGTTCCATTGCCAGAGGCAGAATTGAACAACAATGGGCCCCAGACAAAGCCCCAGACGAAGCCAGTCACCAGCGTGGGAGCCCGAAAGGCACTGGGATCCTGAACTGCAGCATCGCATGGCTTGTAGGATTTTTTCAACCGGCTATGGCTGTTGCTCAAAACTGATGCTAGATACACACGACTGCTGTTTTAAAACATCTTTCACTTTGCCAACGCGATGCACGGAGGACGCAGGACGCTAGCTGCCTCACACTGGAGCTTTGTAGTTCTTTGCCACCAAGAACAAGTCCTTAAAGACGAATCAAGCGCACCCAGCCCTTTTGACCTCTCCCCAGCGGAGTTCAGGGCTCACCCTTCCAAACGAGGAGTATTCCGGACCCCCCCACACCCCCCAGATTAGCTTCGCCATATACAGATCCTCCAGCCTAAGCCTTCGGCTGGCTTTCGTAATAAAAAAAAAAGATGTGAACATCCTGCAAATTTTGCGTGAATGTTGTGGCCCAGGCCCTTCACATTCTCACAGACCGGCCCGGGGCAGGCCTACATAGATGTATGGGGTCAAACCCTTAACGATTACGCTGCGCATGGTTTCAAGTCATGCCAAGTTGAGAAACAGACTATGTTGTAGTTGTCAAGGGTAAAGCCCTTGACGTTCTCACAGACCGGCCCCGGGCAGGCCAACATAGATGCATGGGGTAGAGCCCGCTGCGTTTGTAATATAAAACTGACATTTGAAATCTTTTTTATCATTTCAACCACAATCATTGACATGGGCACGTGCTTCAGCCTGCATTACTTAGCAGTGTGGTTTACTTGTCGTTGCGCCACTAATAATTGATGATGGGTAGTTGGAGTGAGGCTTCACATCTCCAATACTGACCAAAGCACGACAAGTTTCAGTTTGGTGTGACAATGACATTGGAAGTGACTATGACAATGACAGTGACAATGACCAATGACTCTGTTAAACATGACAGTGACAGAATCAGAACCGATAGGAACAAATTGTGAATTTTAGTGAATGTCAATGTGACTGTAACAACTGGCAATAACACATCATGACAATGACAGTGACAGGGAACGTTAGCAACCTGTTTCTGTGTGACTCTGACACGCAAGTAATGACAACAATTCACAGAAAATGGAACGTGACCAAGTCAAACCTGCAAAGCTGTGAGATCCGCATGTTTCCATCGCATCTTCAAATGAGTTGTGATTCCACAACTTGCCCCGTTCGTACAGGCAAGCGCTTTGCTTACTTGTACAACCCCTAATGCTGACTGGCCTCTCAAACGCACCTTCCATGGCCAATGGCCCTCATGAAAAATCATCCCACCTAGGACCCAATGCTGGGAAAAGCTCGATTGACTCTCATTGACTAGGCCAATAATAATAACTGATTATACAATTCAGTTCAAGTTTCAGTTCAATAGTATCATGACTGAGGATCCTACAGGGTACATCGGAAGATAAAGTTTAGGAAGTCGATGACATACCCAAGGTGCTTCTTCTCAACATGCTCCTCCTTCAGCTTCTTGAGCTGCTCCTTGCCCACCACGCACCAAGAATTCTTCTTGGTCCTCAGTCATTGCTGCCGGTGCAAAAGAGATGGCTGATTGAACTGCTTGGTTGAATCATTGTTCGTTGGTCATGGTAGAATTTAACTTAGGCAGTGACAATTTTTTCCTGGCACCATGGAACACCATGCCGACAGCACCCGATCTTGCAGCGTCTGCTTGAACACAATTAGCGATGGTTTCGACCAACGTCTTCTGACGCAGGCTCTTGTGGATCACCAACTCTTGTTTCAACGTCAATGCAGACTTCAGGCAAAGTACTGGCCGGATCACCAGCTTATGCTTCACACAGTGGTCCAGCCACTCAATGCCTGCCACAAATCCGCCATACATACGAGTGCCAAGGATGTAATCATCCTGGTCTGCCTTGTTGTCCAAGTGAATCATCTGGTCAAGACTTTCCGGGGTGGAATCAAACCAAATGACGTGCTTGACTGAAGAGACTTCTTGCAAAAATGATCCATCATTGGGCGTCCAGGCCACCACTTTCAACTTGAGGGATTCAAAGGCATTGCGACATCCACCGGAAAGGCGCACTCCAGGTCGCAAAACGACCAGGCACAATGCCTCTACCAACAACAGGCCTCGCTCCAAGTTTATTGCAAGGTCACGCCTCTCCAATGTCGGTTTGTTCCGGATCTTCTCCTCAGCAGCCTTCAGCTTTTGTTTTGCTTCAGGATCTGATTTCTCTCCAAACGACTGCAAGACCTTTCTCTTCTTGCTTGCTATGTTTTCCAAAGCTGCCTATCCAAGGATTGCGGTGATTCTGACTTGCTGCTGTCAGATCTTTGGATCTGGCCCTCTCGCTCTCGAAGGAAGGCTGCCATGCCTGTTTTGCGACCCTTGCGTAAGCCTTGCTCACGTCTTGGCAACCGATCATCCTGTTCGGCAGGCACCTTCCTGGCCCTGGCCGTGCCATATTCTTTGCGATAGACCTTTTGCACCTGAACCACAAACTGAGTCATCTCATAAGTTGGAATACCCTCTGTTTTCTTGAAAGGAATCTCTTCTGGCAAAGGACCGTCGAGGAGAGTTTTGGTGAGAGCCTTCAAAAGGCTTGAGCTTGTGGAAGACTTCTGGCCTTTGGACTGCATTCTGAAATAACTAAAATCTGATTCCAACTCTGAAGTGGACTCCCAAATGCTGTGGAGCAAGCTCACCTGGCAGCACATTATGAGTCTTGTCATTCTTGTCATGATATAATCCGAGCGATAACCCGCATGGCCCTTCAAATCCAAGGCACTGCTGACTCAAGAGCAGGAAGACGCCCTGACCAATGTTGCAAGGATCGTGCCCAATAGACTTCTGGGTCAACGTTCCCCCTCCTGAGTGAATCTGGAATGCACCCTGGTCGTGGTCCTGGTTCTTGCCTTGCTAAGAATGCTAAGTTAAGACAAGGCTCTTGATTAGCTCTTTGCATGTTGGTCGACAAATGACGAGCTCGTCTGCTAACTTCTTGGCCTCTGCAGCAACAAAACAGACAACTATTTTGAATGGCCATGAATCAAACCTATAAGCTGTTACGTTTGGTCCCAGGCCTCCACGTGGAGGACATCGGCAATGGGCTTCAGAGCGTCTGGCCTTCGCAAAAAGCTGATGAACAGGACCAGCCTTTCGAGTGATTCGAATCATCAAATTATATCAAATTTCAAGGAATGATGGCTCAAAAATGACAAACACAAGCTTCCCAAGACTCGTGCAATACGGAATCGCTGCCATTCCATCCATCCACATCGAATGGGGCAAAGGATTCGCCAAGGACATTGTGCTCAGCCTCCAAGCCTTTCATGAAGAGCGTGGTCACACAACTGATTTCCCCCAGCATTGCTGAGATCCGGGAGTTGATGTCCACACCATGGCCTGAAGCAGGTTCAAAGTCTAAGTTGAAGTCAGACTGAACACCTCGGTAGCCTCTCAGTGAGCCTCTCAGTCA